TGTCTGACTCACTCAAGTTCTCATGTTCATGGAAAAACATGAGTTTCCTAATAATTTCAGATTAACAGGATATCCTTGAGAGCAATCAAAAAAAACTCGTGTGTAATTTAATAGTAGTTGTCCATGCAACTACTTGATTGTGTTCAGCCTTGCATCTTCATTCTCAAATCCTACCCAAAGCAACATGTCTGCAGGCTGACAATACTCTGTACCCTGTACTCTGTGATATCCACTAGGAATCTCATTAGGTTTGTAAATTTAGGAGTTATACCTGTATGAATTTTTGCTACTCTTAAACATAAAAACCTGAAAGTTCCTGTGGGTCAGTCTGTTTCTTGGGACCTTGTCTCTGAGTTTTATGCAGGACTTTGATCTGCCAATCCAACATCCTTACAGCATTTTAGCACTTAATAATAGGCAATCAAATAACTTCTGTATATTAGAGAAAAAGAGTAAGCAATCCAGTAGAATCAATGGGCTGCTATCCAGAATTGTTCAACTGAAGTGTCGCTGTTTCACACCAATTTTCACTGAAGATAAAAAGGCAGATTCACAGGTCCATCAACTTGACTGGCATTGAACTAATCACCTGATGCAATGCTTCTCAATGAAAGTGCCTGGAGCACTCAATCTTTGCAGACAAACCTGAAAACTACAATTAGGTGTCTACAATCTGTTCTGTAGCTCACATTTATTGCCAAACACTGTAAAGTAACTCCTCTTTTATAGAGGACTATCTATAAAGGGGCAGAGTGGTTAAATCAGGATAAAAGCTTTGTGGAATGATATTTGAAGATTATCTAAGTAACACACTTTTAGAATTCAGTTTAAACTTGCACTTTTGAGAGACCAGAGAGAATTTATAAATTTTCTGGAAGAAATGAAAGGAATTGCCATATACATTGAGGAAATAGGTTTTGTTCTTTTACTGCTCTTACTAGGTTGCAAGTTGTTGGCCCGCAACTGTGGGTAAAATTGCCCTTGGTTTATTAGCTTCTAAAATAATCTTAAATTAAAATATATGTTTGCATGCTAGTACATGAATATTTAGGACTACAGTAAGACATAAAATGAGTTCATTTTAAGTTGTTAATCTCTTTCTTGTATTTAGAAAAATATAACAAACAGATCAGCATAAACCATGTATTTTCTAACAGAAAAGCTGCTACAAATAGAGAGGGAAACATTGACAATGCAAATTAATTAAATTATGACAAAAAAATAAAGTATCAGCTCCCTTTCCTCCACATTCAAAATCCTGCACTTGTCAAGAAATATTCTCCCCACAATTTCTCAACTGGCTCTGGCATGGCAACATGCCAAGTCTAAATCATGCCAAATGAATTAGCTTAACAAAGGTGTAAATATGCTCAGACAAAAAGACCTAACATGTGACTGCTTTATGTGATGTTCTTTCAATTAACCATATTCCAATAAGACTCAGTTTTAACTTCATAAGCCTCAGAATTCATTTGGCATTGGAGAATTCTCCTCCCCCTCAGTAATTAACTATTTAGCTGTGACTAATGAAAAAAGAAGCCAAATTGCAAATTGGTTTTATCAGAGGTTATAGATAATTAATTAATCATTGGTTCTCTTTAAACTGGTTGAGTATTATTATGAAAAAATAAGTAATCAGTGCTGAATTAGCTTTCATTTTCATGTTCTATATGCTCAACTGAACACACTCACAAACATAAAACTTTATTCTCATAATAAATACTCTTTGGAAATTATTCATATTTTTGTCTTTACTTATTTTTCAAGAATTTATGAGGGTTTATGGCAGTTAAATTTTAAAAAACCTTAAAATGCATAAAGAAGAAACAGATAATAGCTGGAGCTAATGCTACATAAATATACAGTAATAAATAGTGGGTCATTATACCCTATTTAACTTTACAAGTGGGTATCATCACAATGAAGAAAAATGCTATAATTTGTCATGTTTTGTTGATCCATACTGTGATCATACAGTATTTTTCCTCCTAAATTGTCTATCCACCGAGTGTGTTTAAAATGTCACAGACTAGTTCCTATGACAACTATCAAAAACAGTAAGGTGCAGTATGGAAAGTTCCTATTGCAACTATCAAAAACAGTAAGATGAAGTATGGAAAGCATTTTATATTAAATAAATATTTTTTATTATAAGTATTTCAACCCATACTCCCTATGTCTGTATTAAAAGAGAAAATCCAAGGCCAGGTTCAACAATGAAGAAGCTACTTAAGGAGCAGGGGATCTGCAAATGGATAGGACAAGTGTAATAAACACCATTTTAAGATCATACTGTAGGAATCAGAAGGAACTGAATGTGTGTTTAACCTTAGGACTTCACTTTCCCTAACTCTTAAAATATCATGCCAGTTAGGAAAAAAATATATAAGGATAGAGTTTCATCCTATCCTGCTCCAGGAATTTAGGATCACTGCAGTTTGTATTTCTGCTGATATAAATGGTTATAATTTGCGCCTCTGAAATGTTGTTATATTAAATATGGTTCACTATATAAAATGCTTAGTTTAATGTAAAAACACACACCGATGCTGCAGCCAGCCACCCCCCCCACCCCCATGTTCAGGTTCCACCTAGCTAAACAGTGTCTCGTTTACAATCTAATACATGTGGCTCACCCGGAGATGGGCTGTTCCAGGAACTGATACCGGGACCCTGGAAGCTGATCATCCCGGTAAGGACTCAGATCGAAATCTCCAGAGACCTCCCGGCTGATACATCTGAAAGCCACAGTTCCTGTAACTTCATCAGCAAGATCGTCCACACATGGACTTGGATTGTTTGGACTTGGCCTAGAGAAAAGAACTTTATGAATATGGGGAACTCTGAATGGAAAGAATAGGCTGATGGCTGAAATCCTCACCCCCGCGCAGAAAATTTCCTATAAGAACCGCGGGATCTGAGAGGGTGGTGCCGATGTCCAGAGGAACCGCTGCTGTGAGCGTCTTTTCGGTCACTCACCCAGCGCCGATCCCGGGCTTGCACTGCCTTTTTCCTTGTGGCCGGCGAGATAGATTTTAATCAAATTCTTTTTATTTCATTTTTAATTTGGCTGGACAAATTTTCATTTATAACACTGCCATGTGGGAGGATTGAGCCCACCCAGAAGACATTGGTACGCATTGTCAATGTCTTCTGGGTGGGCAGAAGAAACCCAAGAAGAGCAGGACTCCTGTGGTACCATGCACACTGCAGGACCCTGCCGCTCTCTTATTTTGCATTTTTCAGGAAAATGATTGGACTCTGAACTAAGCCCTTCTCTTGCACAGAGCCTGGAGTGTTCCTTGTCCTTTTACGACTCAGTTGTTTCTGTGCCGCCATGAACTCAGTGGGAGCTGCTGACTCCACGGGGCCGATCGTGGGGCTTTGCTTCATGCTGCACTGCAGTTCATTCCTCCTACTGACTTAGGAGTTGTGCTACTGCTTTCTTCCATAGTTGTGGTCTGCTCTGTACTCACAAAACAGCCATTACAGAGCCATGGATGAAATTATACCAAAACACAGAACTAAAAATAAACCTCGATCAAAAAAAAAAAGGCAGATTTTTTTCTCATCCTGGAAAGGATCATGCTGGTTTGCATTTTTTAGTGTGATTTTCAAAGATTTAATGGTCTGCTTTACAATACTGGATTTTTTCTGAGATCATTTATCAGTCCATAAAATTTTTGAATAAAAAGACAGCCATTTTTTTATTGCCTTTCGTATTGAGGAACGGTAAAATAGTTCTGTTAAAATACTATAATGTCTCTTGAGTTTAGTTAAAAACACTTAGGAAAAAAAGAAATCTTCCCTTCTCTGATATTATTTATAAATATTTTCTTTCTGTATTTCCAAATAGTCTCTTGCACTAATGCATTTCAATGGAACTCAGTTATGCAGTCCTGTTTTAAGTCTGCGAATGCCCTCACTTTTGACTCACCATTATTGGCACATATATTTAAGTTGGATAGAAGCAATTATGAATGCCTTAATTGCCCAAAATCTAATACCAATGGTATTTTTTAAATAGTCTATGACTACTTTTCACCAATGTCAGTGCAATTTTTTTTTCCTGCGGAAAATCATGAGAATAATCTCACTTATCCACATTCAGTTCTGCAGTAGAAATGAGAGAAGTGAGAAATAATGTAATGGTAGGAAGCTTGTATTCCAACCAGTTTAAGCAAACCAAGGAAATATTTTGCTTGAAGATTTATTTTTGTGTGCATGAATGAATATACACATTTCTTGAAGAAAGCCAGAAAGTACTCTCATGGTCAAGTTAAAAACTAGCCTTTTACCCAAAAGCTCATTTACCGCGCTCAGATGCGATGCTGTATTTCCAGTGGAACTTTCAGTGTTGTATGAGGGGATTGTATACCTGGGAAGGTATTTAAAACGTGGATAAAACCGAGTGGCGATTTCATCTGAAAAGTCACCGTTCTTATTTAATCACAGCACACAAGGTAGGCTGAAAAAAAAAATAATAATAAAAATCGATCTTTTAATCTCCTTGTCGCTTCGTCTGCAGCAAGCATGGAGGAAATTTGGGCTGCTGGCGGCCCGTAGTTACCCTGGCAACCGGTAGGAAGCGTCGGCGGCGCCGCGGGGCCCGCGGGGACGGCCCTGCCCGGAGCCCGGCCCTACCCTGCCCGGAGCCCGGCCCTGCCCGGAGCCCGGCCCTGCCCGGAGCCCGGCCCTGCCCGGAGCCCGGCGCTGCCCGGAGCCCGGCCCTGCCCGCAGCCCGGCCCTGCCCGGAGCCCGGCCCTGCCCGCAGCCCGGCCCTGCCCGGAGCCCGGCCCTACCCTGCCCGGAGCCCGGCCCTGCCCGGAGCCCGGCCCTGCCCGGAGCCCGGCCCTGCCCGGAGCCCGGCGCTGCCCGGAGCCCGGCCCTGCCCGCAGCCCGGCCCTGCCCGGAGCCCGGCCCTACCCTGCCCGGAGCCCGGTCCTGCCCGCAGCCCGGCCCTGCCCTGCCCGGCTCGTTGCCCTGCCCGGAGCCCGGCGCTGCCCGGAGCCCGGCCCTGCCCGGAGCCCGGCGTTGCCCGGAGCCCAGTGTGCCCAGGCAGCGGGACCCAGGGACCCAGGGCAGCGGGGCGGCTCCCGCGGGTCCCTGGATGTCCCGCGGGGCTGAGGAGGGCCGGGCCGGGGGCTCTGTGGGAACTCGCCGGGTTTTCTCTGCCTGAGCCTCTCGGCGGTGACGGCGCTCAGAGCCCCTCTTGTGTTTCTGCCTCTGCACTCCGGGCGAGTCGGCACTCAGCAGGGTAAGGGAGCAGCCTCACCTTTCAGATCCTACTGACTTCCATTCTGCCTGCCTTAAGTGACTTCTAGATCCCGAGCTCCCGGCTGTGCTTTTCCCGCTTTGAAAGATGTCTCTTAAAAGTGCTTCTCGTATTTCTGTTTAAAGTGCCGCTCTTTTATTTGAAGCCTGTCATCTGCCAGTAGATGGGTCACTTCTGTATCAAACCTCGCTTGTTTGATTCACGGCTGTGCTTCACCTGTCTGATCTCTCTACAAAAACGTGACCCTTCCACCTCCTCACTACACGAGAGCATTCATCTCTGAACAGTGAGACCTCCTTGTGAAAAGTACTTTTTCTGGTCAGTGCTACCTAGTGTACCTTAGCATGTATTTTCATTACTTGGAAAATAGAAAAAATTAAAAACATCTCAATTACTTCTAAATACTTTTCTGAGAAAAATATTTATATAGGTATTAGCAAGCTGACTGTATTATTTGCAAATTTCAAAGTCTGACACAGGTAGCAATGTTTTATGATACATCTGCTGCTGTCAAGAACTTACCTGGTACTTTTATAGTATGAAACTACTTTTTTCTTAATTTTCTGACAGTTGAAAATCAGTCTTCTAATGCTAATGTGATTAGAACTTTAGGATAATAAATGGACATACAAAATCAGTAGATTTATTTCTATATTAATGTTTTCCATTTGACTTCTGTTTACAAGAATAGTCCCCATAAGTATAATGTAAATTTCTGTGAGTTCTGAAGAGATTTAATTGCCTAATTGTAGTGTATTATTTCTTTTAAAGACAGGCCACATTCTGGAAATTATAGGAAAGAGAAAACAAAATGTACAGTAGGTGAACTGATTCGAATTACTAGTTCTGATTAAATTATCAGTAAAGAAGTATTGATTTAAACTTTCAATTTTAGTTTTGCTTTGTATTTTAGCTGATTTGCTAGTCATTATTATATGCTGTTTCACAGCATTCAGTAAGATTGGGCACTTCATTTAATTCTTTCCACAAGTCATAGAGACAGCATATCTACACATATGCTGGGACCTTGTCACTTACCAGAAACAGAAGCAATCCTAAAGATTTCATAATGTAGAAGATGACAAAGGTACCTGACTGGAAATCCTGCTCAGAGGGAAGAATTAGAATAGCCAAGCTAAACAAGGAGTGCACATCCAAGAGTCTGGCAGAGATTAGGGCAGGTGGCTGATAAAGATGAGGGCAAGAGAGTAGCATGGAAAATCTGTCTCTGATTCATCCTGATCTCAGTATTTGACATTTAATCATATTTAAAAAAAAAAAAAAACCAAACAAAAATAGGTGTTATCAAGGGTGATGACTCGACAGCAAGCACACTGCTCATCCCTGAGGCAGTGTTTGTTTCTGTGTGTGGCTTCCTATTATTTTCATTTCTGTATGGTGTAATTGCTTTTTAACAATAGGAATCTAATGTCTTATTTACTAATTTTTTTTCCATGGAGAATACACCACACAAAAATTACTGAACATTATAATATTCAAAACCAGGGTTTTCATTATTTATAATTTTATTAATACTTGAAATCTTGTAATCTCCCAGGAATAATTTATATTATTCATCATAATATCAGACTTGTTATGTTAAGTAAGTAGAGAAATATTATTTTTATTAGGGACACTTCAACCCAATTACATACATTTGTCATGATGTGTAGTTGATACACTGATTTACAGAAGATAAGTGTACTTAAATTAGTATTAAATGATGTAGACAATGTTATTTTTGCAGTCTTTTTTAGACAGTACTTTCATTACTTTCATTCCATTCTTCTAAGTGGAATTAGAATTAATTTTCTGTGGGTTTTTTTTTTCTTTTTTTTTTTTTTTCTTTTTTTTTGCTGCCTCACATTTCTGTTTTTCATCTCTTATTGATTGTGGTTTGGGTTTTGTGTCATGAATGTACTTGCTTCATTCCTTCATCCTAGACTTTCCTCAAATTGTTGCTTTCTTCTGATGTAACTGTACCCATTTGACTCTGGGCTCTTCTTCTGAGGGCTGTATTGCTACTCATATTTTTGTAGGCTACTCTAAAAGCAGACTGTATCTAATTCACTTTTGCTGCAGGTCTCAAAGAACACAAGTAAAGAGGAGCAGGTTAGGAAATGTGTGCATTTGAAATATGGAGTGACAGGACTATTACAATTGCCCCATACATTGTGTCCAATATATTAGAATAAGCATCTCTTTCCCAGTGCACTTATTCATATTTACTTGGTTGTTTTTTCATGTCAGTCTTTGGGCTGGGGATTCTAACCCTTCATATTCTGTCATATAGAAATGAAAATTATTTAATGTTTCTTGGTTTTTTTTGTTTTGTTTTTTTCTGGTGGTTTTTTTTTGGTTTTTTTGTAGGAAGCAATGTTCTAAGAATGTCATCAGGCATCCAAATAAAAACAAAGTCTGCAGCCCAGAAAAGCAAGACACGTTCTCCAGAATCACAGCCAAAGCCTAGTGCCAAGCTGAATCCTAAAACTATTGATCCAGTATGTGTAAATGGTGGTTGTTTTGGTTAAAATCCATCTGTGGTTTGAAGAGTGTTCCTTACTTTATGAAATTGAATGCAGGATATGCTTCTTCTGGTACTATTTTTTAAACTGAAATTAAACTTTTGTTATTAATCATATATACCTTATTTCTAAGCTCAAATGCCTGAAGGTATAACATTGTTTATTACATTTCTATACAAATGTATTTTGGTACAGTTGTGGTTTGGATGGTAACTGTTATTTTTTTATGTACGATTGTCCTAAAAAGAGATTTAGAGCTAAACATAAAAAAGGGTTGTTTTTTTCTTACTTCTAAGCTTTGGCACCTGCTGCTTTAGACAAATTTATTTCAGTAATGCAATGAAACCAAGAATCACATGGCATATTGAAGGTATTCAAGGCTTCATAAAATCTGGCAAATTAATTGTTAGTGAGCATTATTTGAAACTCAGTTACTGTGACTATGTAATCCTTCAGGAAAAATTTGTATTCTTGGGAGAGTAGTAATGAAAGGAGTTGTTTATTTCCTGGAAGTCCCATGCCTGAAGAACTAACATTGAATGCATGAATTGTAGTTCATCACTGGGCCATATAATTTGGCAATTAGTAATGTCACAAGATTTTTACAAAGTGAATGAAATGCAGAGGTACTTTACTAATAAACAGAGGCTGAATACTTTAATGTGGGCATATTTTATTTGAAATCTCTTTGCAAGTAGCACAATGACCAAAATTAAGCTGTGAACACAATTCTACTAATCTTAATGTAGGTATAAACACACAAAAGATAAAAATTGAGATTTCATGGTATTTCCTTCTGAATGCTTTTTGATAAAGTGTATTATCTGGAAGCAGCATTAAATGATCATGCTAATAAATAATAGTTCATATGCATAAGAAGCATGTATGTTACAAAAATAATATTTGTGCAGCTTTTCCTTGCATGAAAGTCCTAGTTTCCTTCTCCAGTGGAAGGAGAAGGAAACTCTCCTTCCTAGAATCTCACCCAGTATGAACCTCCCTGTGCATTTGCAGTGCCCTCCCACCATCTTGCCCAGTATTTGTGTTTTCTCCCATGTCTTGCCACCATATACTTTTGTCTACACCCAGATCAAGATGGAATTGCAGTAAAACTGCCTTCTGCATGTTACCAATATAGCAGCAAGAACTTCAGGGAAGTGGGAGCTCCTTGTTCTGCCTAGGGAAGAGCCTGTAAGACTTTAATATTACCATTTGGAAGAAAAAAAAAAATAGAAAAATAAAGTGATTCCATCAGGAGACCACTGATTGTACATCTTTATTCATTTTAACAACTCCACAGACCGATGAGTCTTAAAAGCAGTTTTCACATAAGTGTATCACTTACATGTTTTCCATTGCATAGCTGCAGTTCTTTTTTAAAATTTGATTTAGACTCATATGATTAAGTTCATTTTATGGTAAACTTCTGTTTTAACATATTCATAATAGCTATAAAACATTACTATTATAAATAAATAACGCTTTTTCTTTTCTGTCCTCACAGTTTCATGCTTATTCTCAACCATCTGCATTTGCTGCTGCATATGCTAGAGGTGGCATTCCATGCAGGTATGTTGGGTTTGCTTCTTATTTTTACTAAATATGTTATGAAATATGTTTCTTTGTGTTTCATCTTTTAGTTAGGTTATTTGATTCCATTCAATTCTGGAAAAATTTCTAATACTTAACTCTTTTCAGAGCAGAAAGCAACTTCCCATTCCTTTGAAATTGTCTTATTGTGGTTCTTTTTTTTATGCTGTATTAATATTGAAACCACATTTTTAAAGAATAGTTAAGTATGTGCACACTTGGTTTCCTAAATGTCTTTCACAAATGGTATTTTCAGGTAATTGTATTTACTTATCCCTACTAACAAAGATAATAAAATTAGTGCCATTTTAATAAGTAGACCTTTCACAGCCTTAGTGGAATGACAACATGTTATTTGATTTCCTATTCTGTAGTTTTCAGGCACATGAAATATAAGTTTAGGGTATTTTAAATTACTTAATTATATATTTGTCTGGACAATAAATATTCTGGTGTTTTGTCACATGGATACAGAATTACAAAAATATAAGCCATCATTAATAAGATGTACATGTATACAATGTATATAATTGTATAAAATAATCATTAATACATAGCATTAATAGATTTATTGGTATCTTAGGAGTAAATAGTAAATTCCAATATGATCTCCCTTCAGTTTCAACTGCTTTCCCTTACCCATTGCTACTTGAGGAAAATGTTTCTTGATATACTTATCAAAATAAGTAACTTTGGAAAAGGAGTATCTTCTGTGTTGGCATGAGAGGCAGCTATAATTTTTATAATGTCTATTTTCTGATTTCTATGTGATTAGGAGCAGAATTTTGAAAACTGCCATATTCTGGGAAATTAGTATAATTGCACTGTTAACCATTATAGATATACACAAGTTGGACACCATGGTCCCAGAGATCTTTGCCAACTTAGTTGATTCTGTGATCATATAATTGCACTAAGGAGAGCATTGTGTATATAAGGTAGGAATGCAACAAACTAATTGCTGATACATTTAAAGCAAATAGTGTTAGCAGTAAATTATGTATTATATATTTTATTTTGTTAAAACTTTATTCTTCATATAGGTTAGTGCATGGATCAGTGAAGCACAAACTGCAGTGGGAATGCCCTCCTGAAACTGTTCCCTTTGATCTTCTTTTAACATTGGCAGAGGTAAACTCAATTTCCTGCAACATTAAGCACACAATCACTTCCTATTTGCAAATGTCATTTTTTAACTATCTGAGTTAGCTAGTTTAGGCTCAGCTACTAGAGAAATATAAAAAAAAAAACATTTTTGAGGATATTGTATGAATGAAAATGGTCAAGAACATTGCTATTTGTAGTTCTTTAGTTAGAGCTTTCTGGGAGAGTTAAGTCAAGCTGTTTAATCTTCAAGATACTGATCAAATGCAAGACCGCATCTCAGATGCCCAACTGTTGAATGAAATTTGAGGTTTTGCAGATTCTTTTGTAAACTAAATTGTTTTGCTTCTTTTTGTATATAACACCTACCTTATGAAGTAAGAATGCTCTCCTCAATAGACTGAATTAGTACAGTGGAAAGAGGATCCTGTAAATAAGTGGAGGAGAAATACTATACACTGTGTTGAGGCTTCTGTTTTCTCAGAATCATCTGTGACATTTGTCACCAAGTATGTTCCAGGTGTCTAAAGAAATGCTGAATCCAATGTTGCAGGTAGACTAAAGTGCATATATTGAGGTGGCTTACATTCTTTATTCTTTTTTCCTTTTTTCCCCTGTTTTTCCTTTTTGTTTTCTTTGTTTATTTTCTCCCTTTGTTTATTTTTTTCTTTTTTTAACACTAAACAAAACTTTCAATTTGTAAGGTAACATAAAACTTCTTTTATGTTAAGAAAAAAGGCTTCAGACACACGGCATTTAAATCTTTGCCAATAAGACCTTCACTAGATGTGTATCTTTGTGCTATCTATAAGTTTTTAGTGTTGTATAGAGAGGTATGTGGTGTGGGTGTCTTTCCTTCCATAGTTCACCTTCTATTCTTTTTTTCCTTCAGGGCACAAAACCCCTATTCAAATATGGCCTGTTCTAGTTCATGGTCTCATTGAAAAAATCCCTTGGGTTGTTAAATTGAAGGTAGTGAGGTACAAATATTGATTGAATTGTAGTATTCATAATGTGAGTTTTAAAATTCAATATTCTAAAAGAAATTCTGTGAGCAGTGTTGTACCTAGTGGCTCCACATGGTGGAGTTAGTGTACTTATGTTTTGAACTGATCTGACAAAATCTAAACATGTCTTGCTGCTGTGTGGAACTTTTAAAACGTGTTTTTGTTTAAGAGAAGTCTCAGTATTAAGAAAATCATGTTTTACATTTACAACAGGGACTAAGAGAGACAAAACATCCTTATACTTTTGTTTCCAAGGAGGGTTTTAAAGAATTACTTCTAGTTGAAGGTGCTGCTGAAAAAGCTATTCCCTTGTTGCCTCGTCTAGTTCCAATCTTGAAGGCTGCATTGGTATGTCTTACTCTTCATGCAGTGATTTTAATGGGTTTGATTTTTTTTTTTTCTTCTGCTGGTGGGAACTACATGGGTAATATTAATGTAATAAATCTATTGCATGGGCTTTTGGTTTGGGGGTAGGAATGATATCTCTTTCTGCTGTTAACCCTGCCTTTGTTTATTAGGTAAATATGTCTGTAAATATAAATTAAGATGGGCAGCTCCTTGTATAACTATATGACAGTTGCTATGGGAAAAATTTATTAAACTGTTCTCTTAAAGGTTTTAATATAAGCAGAAATAAATATATATATTTGGGCTTTTTTATATTTCCATGCAATAACACACGAAAAATAAAAATGAGGTGAAGTAAAATGGATATGCAGGAATAAATACTCATCTATTACATGTAACAATTCAAAACATGCTACAAAGGTAAAACAGAATCACAAAATAAGAGACTCACAAGGATCATTGGGTCCAACTCCCAGTCCTGCACAGCATCATCTACAGAATATGTCAATGAGGAAAAAGGAAGAATACATTTATAGTGTTTGAGGCCACATTCTTATTTTTAAAAAATGTTTTTAACTCTTCTACACCATCAGAAAATAAAGTGAGATATTGGCTTTGAAGGTTATCTCTTTTGGATCTTTTTCATGTCTTTGAGAGCCCTTTTCTGGTTTAGTAAGTAGCTGTCCCTTAATCTAGCTGTCTTTCAGTTCAGATTTAATAGAGATGGCTTGAAGTTTGAAAATGAATTGTGATCTCAAATCAGAGATGTAACAGAAGTTCAGAATTGTGTGTTATCACTATCTTTGGTTTAACTTAAAAGTAAAATTAGAAAAATTATTCTTGTCTCTTCCTCCAATTAATATTACTCTTCTAATAATTTTTATTGTTGCACTGTTTTAGTATTATGTCTTGTTAAATCTTCTACTAGACAAGTAGCCCATGATTTCTAATTAAAAAGAAAACGTTCAGGGCCTGGATGCTAGAGAGGAAAAACGGTTGTTTAAATAAACTTATAATTTAGTATAAGACCAAAATAAGTTGTTACGAATCTATTTCTCTGCTAAAGGAAAAACAGCATAACTAAACAATTACAGAAATCAAGTACAGAACCTTCCCATGGGAGAATATAAAGATGACAAAGAGCCACAGAAGTAGATAAGAGCCTGATAACTGCTGGCAGGTTTAGTTGGCAGAGGACTAAATTAATTGAGGCAGAAAGTCATTGGCACCTGTTTCTCCAATAAAGTTATTGTTATGAATTACATAGAAATTATCTAGAATTCATTCAATTTTTAACTAAAATGGTGTGTCTCAATTCCAACATACCAGCATTTGAAAGGTTATTTCTAATATGCTGTGGAATATTGAAATTATTAGTGTAGCAAGCTGTTCTGCATGCCACATTTTTTTATTTCAGCAAGAGCAAATTATTCAAAATTATCATTCAGAAAAAATGTAAGAGTTTTGTGGACATTTCATAGGTGCTTTTGTTTTCCACTTTAAAAATATGCCTTGGCTTTAAATTTGCCCTCTATAGACTAATATTCAGTCATATTGTACTCTATTTCTAAACTTGTATCATTATAGCAATTAGCATTTGCACAGTAGTTTTAGTGTTTAAAACTACTCCATAATGTACATACATAATGCAAAGATTGAAGTTTAGAAAAACTTACTTTGTCTGAATCTTACTCACAGGATTTTCTTTCTTTCTTCCCCTTCTGAAGGCCCATGCAGATGATGAAGTATTTGGAAGGGGATTGGATGCTTTAGTGCAATTGAGTGCTGTTGTTGGCCCATCTCTTAATGATCATCTTAAACTTCTACTCACAAATGTAAGTTTTTAATGCTGTAATAAAATTTGTATTTTCATGGCATTCTTGTTGAGATGTTACTATATTATCTGCACAGATACAGTGGAGGACTTGGCCGTTCCATGAAAAGCGTTATTTCATACAGTACCCAGTGTGAGTCCTTTGGTTTTTTTATAATGTGGTGACTTACAAAGTTCTAGCAAGGTTCAAAAACTATTGTTAATGCAAAGTGAAGGATAATGGAAGTCTTCTCTCTACTATTTATGAAAACATCCAGATGCTTTGTTTTGGAGAAAAAATTATTGCAAAATGAGTTTTTAATTTTAAGTCTGAATATCTTTGCAAAACCATGAACATTTCAATATAACAGAAGCAAACATTCTCATTCTTTTCAGATGGGAATTCTGCACAAGGAAGTTATCATTAAATAAGCTTTGAGTGCGATTATGAGAAGTATTTTTATGCCAAGTTATTCTGAGGACATCCTTCCTCTGTCAGACAGGCTTTTCGTGGTTGCTTTTAACCTGCTTACAAATTGCACTTTTACAACAAAATAAAAGGACTTTTTTTGACAATCAATGCAGAACATAAATTCCAGCAGGTTTTTGGTTTTTTTTTTTGAAGTATTTCTACTGCAGGAAATCTCTTTCAATGCACATGGGAAAAAAGTTAACTTTTCGTGTGGACAATTCTTTAAGAATGACTTTTTTTTAAGGTGGATATTTCTTTCAAATTTGTTTGCTGAAAGAAAAAGAAATATTTTTGTGGGTTAACAGAATAGTGTTCTTAGAATTTAAGTTTCTCTTTAGTTAACTTTTTATTCCATTTGCTTTTCTTGAGTTCCATACTTGTACATCAGTTACAAATTATAAAGTAATGTTTCTTTGTGGTTTTAATTTTGCAAAGGTAAGATGGAATAAAGTAACAAAATAGGTAATTATTGCCTCTTTGCATATATTGTACTATATTGTGCAACAAACCTTTTTTACTTTTCCAATAGCTTTTAAAGAGATTAATGGACAAGAAATATAGAGAAGAAGTTACTGTTGCTTTACAAAAGCTGGAGCACTGTGGTGGAAAGGTGAGTTGATCAGATGTTTATTTAGTAATCTACACTTTTGAATACATTGTTAGAACAGCTTTCATCTCTGGTTTTGTTACCATGTTCTTGCTTCAGTATAGCTGGGATACATCCTTGGTGTTCCATTTCCTGGGACTAAATATGTTTCTCAATAAGATTTACTCTTGCAAAAATTACTTTTTGCTATTATTGATGATGCCTGGCTGTTCCCACTAATAGTTTATGCTTTTTCCTGAGGGAATCTTATATTCCAGCCCACCCTGGTTAACCCAGAGTTTGGATCTGCAATGGCTATAAATCAAAAAGATGCTTTAAGTAATAGATGGCAGAGGTTTCTTCTGTTGTACATTCTTTTGACAAATGCTGTGCTGCACAAAGGAGAAAAGGAGAAAAAACGAGGAGTACTGACTTAGATGCTCATCTGGAAGAGAAAATATTTGCTTTCTTGACCCTATGAACAGTTGTATATTTAATAGTTATTTGTAAAGAATAGGAATAACTTGAGGAGCAGGGACCATACAGGCAGGCCTGGCAGTACTGAGCTTGTGTGCCTTAGCCAGTAGGTGCCCAAATAATCAGTGGTTGCCTCTTCTTTTCTGTGTGTGTGCTCATGTTCATTTAAAAGCAGTAGCAGTGTTTGTACTACAGACTTGAAAAATGTCACGAAAAGTGAAGGAGGATCAGAGTTCTTTATTTATATGAAGTGAGACAAGAAAAGGAAAATTATATCTTGTCTTAATGTTCTGAAAATTTAGATCAAGATAATATAATTAATCCAGTGAGTCATTAACCTCTGATTCTTCTGTCAGTCCCCTGATTTCCTGTAGTCTTACCTGCTTTGTAAGTCTTTCTGTATATCTTTTGAAAAAACCATAATAAGATAAAGCAAAAAAAAACTGGAAACAAACTACCAAGTTGTGGTGACAAGCATTATATAATCCAACCAACTGATTTATCAAATTTATTTTCTAAATTAGTTATAAAGCATATGATTCTTACTTTTGTTGGAAATCCCTTCTAGAACATCATTGCTCTACATAAAAATCCTTATTATTTCATGTTTATATTAGTCCCCCATTTCAGGTGTGAGTTTACAGGTCCCATACTTTGGATGTTTACTCTCCAGCATTAGTTATCACAATGGTGCATTTTCTCAGTTCATTATTTTCAGCCCTTTTGACAGTAAATTTCTTAGCAAATATTAATTTTTAGATTTCTACTGTTTGATAGTAACAAAGATAACTAAGTAAAAATTGTGAATTATGCAATTTATAGAGACTATATGAGTACTGTCATATGTAGTGCTAGTGCCCCTTATTTTGTTTAAATCTGTTTTGTTTACTTCAACAGGCAACTGTGGCGATCATCAAGTCTAAAATTCCAACCTATTGTTCTATCTACTCTTGAACAAGGAATCTGTAGTGATTTATACTGTAAAGTGAAGTTTGGAAAGAAGCGCTCTGTAAATATCACTGACACTTATTTGGGGTATAATATATTCTCTTAAAATACTAATTATTCCTCCATTAGTATGATGGAGAGCAGGAGTCTTATCAGTTTGTGAATATGTAATTATGGAAGACTTCTCTTTGTATATTTGTATATGCATTGGGCTTACAATGACACTGTTAATGTGCTATTATTTCAAAAAAAGAATAAATACTGATTCTTATTTAGTTTTTAATTACAACTTAATTTATTATATCTGTAGTGCTTAATATATTTCATATATTTGTGTGATGCAAAATAATTTGGTTGTAATTACTTAAATAAAATCTAACTTGGTGCTAAACAGGTGTATAGCTGCTTTTGAAATACATAACTTCTTTTGTGACACAGCACAGATGGATACATTTAGGTTAGACACAAAACTGTGAGCCCTCACAGACTTCTTCAGAGTCAGCTTTTAAAGGCGTGACGTTGAACCCAGTAAACAGGCAGCATATGGGCCAAGGCTGAACTTGCTCAGTGCATTTTCAGCATGTTGTTTTGAGAGCCTGCAGAGGCTCTGGAGAACACAGTGTAGAGGCATCAGGTTGCTCCACAGAGCCACAGCTGAGGCTTTGCTCAGCTAATTAGTCCCTGTTAGCTTTGAGTCTACTGAATGGGAGCTGGGTGCAGGAAGCAACTTTGGTGTAGTTAGACTGTGCTCTCTTTGCATTGAGTTCAGTAATGCTACAGATATGCTTGGGATCTGCTTGTGAATTCAGGTCCAGACAAGTTAATGAACTTCTGAACACGGAAGCTATGAAAAATAATAGTTAAAGGCAAAAAGAAGATTGTACAGAAGATTGTAGGAGCCAGCTTACCTGTCTGTCAAGCTTTGGAGGGTACAGCATTTGTCCTTTAATGTATTTCAATTTGATTGCAAAATAATTCCTGATTGGTTCTTGTAATAAATACTGTTCAGGGACATGCATTTGTGTACACTGTCAGGGAGAGTTAACTGAAGTAACAAAATTTGCACAGAATGTTTTCCCCTGGGGAATATTCAATTCTGGCATTTAAAGTTGTTGGAAAGGATGTGGTTTTTGTCATAAGAAGATGCTGATGCATAGAGTATTAATAAAAGTCTGTCATGTGAAAGCAATTTCAGAAGTTTTTTTTTAAATTACCACAGCCTAACTAAAGTTCACTGCAGGACCGATCTCTGCCGAGATCAGAACTGTGCTAAGTCAAGATAAATGTATTTATGCTTAAAAAAAACCCAAACTTATTTATTCTATAAGCATTTTTGCCAGCAGGTATTTAACAACTCAAAAAATTGATCATGGTTCTTTTTTTCTTCATGTTTACTTTATTTTTTTCTTTTTTTTTTACAAAATGTGCACATTTAGCTTACACAAACACGCTACAGCAGATTTCAGGTGTACATGTATTGTACTACTCTTATCCTACACTGGTGATAGCAGAGCAGCCTTCAACATGCCTCTAACATCCCATCTCTACACCAGAATAGATACCTGATTTATTTTTACAAAATAATTCTTGTAACCTTCCTTCTTCTTCATTAATCCCCTTTCACACTTTCTGCAGCAATGTCACAATGAAAGTTGGCCTATCTCTGATAGCATTTCACCTATTTTGAAATATTGGTGTTGACTCTGTGGACAATTTTTCTTAAAAATTACATGGATGGAGGGGCAGTGTAATATTTTATATGCATACTTTCTTAGAAGAATCTTTCTAGGTTCCAAATTAAGTAGCTCCAATCTTAATGAAGATATGATCTTAAAAAATGTAAAGCATTTATCACATATAGATGATATATAGCGAAAGTTTTCATTGTTTTCCTGGCTCTGTCTCATAGTTAAAGGTATTACAAAAAGATGAAATAAATGTTAGCCTCTAGCAGTCATTATTAGTAGAGGTTACTATGTAGTGATGTTCATTCTCAGCACTAAAGTGGGATGGCAGTTTTCAAAAGTTCATGCCTTTTTCTTCATTAAAGGCAGAAAGACACATACTTAGGAAAGCAGTGTTAGGATCCAGTTAAGGTTTCTTAATGAAAAATTGGAAGTCAGAAGATCCTTAATTTTAAGCAAAGGACTTCGCATAGACATCCAAGAAGATTTAAAAATACAGATGTAGGACTTTTGATATGTCATGATAAATTAAGTGCAGACTTATTAGGTAAGATTGAAAGAATTTTACTCATATTTTTTAGGGAATAAGCAACTTGGTTGGTTGGTTGGTTGGTTTGTTTTATAACAGTTCTTGCTCTCAAGTTACCTGCTTAGTTATGTTTGGGTTTTGGGGGCTTTTTTCTGAAGAGAAAAGTTGAAGTTGGAAGGCAATTATAGCAAGGTGTGCATTGCACATTTATTATAGCATTTTAACTCAAAATATTTAAATCAAAATATTATTAAAAAATGAGGACTACACTGTAGAAATATGAGAAGAAAATAAATTGTAATGCCTCTGTATAAATTAGAAGCTAGAGATTTAAGAAGTACGCTTTAACACCTGGAACTTAGTCCAGTACAAATGAGTAGCAAAACTAAGAATATTTATTTAATCTCCATGTGATTGTATCTATTTTAACTAGGGGTTGGAATGATAATAAAGGTGCATAATGTCAGCTGTATTTTGTTTGAGTTTGTAGTAATAACCTGATTTTTCAGTACAGTCCTAGTAACTAAATAGCCACTGTGGAAGTGCTAAATTGTATAATGTAGAAAGGGTTTTTTTGTTGGGAAGGGTTTATAATAAAAAATTTACTTGCATAATACATGTCTCAGTGTAAAGCTGAGTAACTTTATTTATGATAAAGTGGGAAATCCATTTTTTAGATAATGTTGCAGAATAGCTCATATTTGTCCATTAGTTGTAGACCTAGTGTCTTCATTAAATCACATTTTCAAAGAGCTGCATGGATCGCATTATATTCTCATCCTGTAAAAAAAGACAACACATAACCAAAAATCACACACCATTACAAATGTAGTTGGTAGATATCTATACTGAAATGTGGTAGAACATTTTAGTTAATTGCAACATTTTTTTCAGCTTATTTGGCGAAATGGTTGGCAGAAAAAAGTTGTTAATGGGTCCATGCTTAAATAAGTTTTTCTGTATATTAATGAAACCAAAACTACTCTGTCAAGAATACTATAGCATATTAAGAAGATTAGATCTGTAACATTTCTGAGGTTATCAGTTTATATTCAGGATAACAGAATACATCTAGACAATAAATACTGATGGAATACTTGTATCAAGTGTGAATCTGTGCATGTAATTGCTTGTCCTGTGCACAGTACACAGGATCCTTTTTGCAATCCTAGGGCTTCTGCTTCATAGTTAGGGATGACTAAGAAAAACAAACTGAAGTGTGCACCATTGCTGAGCCAAAATCAATCAGTTTGACAAGTATGACCACAGCACTCTTCAGTTCCTCAGTTCAGATTTTCTGTGTTTTCACACTGAAAGATGGTGATTCCTTCTAAATGCTACTTCTGCTTTCTGATTGCTTTGCATTAGGTAATTTTTTAACAAAATATTCATTTTTCCAGTGGTGTATTATACCGATGCATCACTCCGTGCCTCAGATTTTATCAGCAAGCAACTCTCAGCACAGCAGTCAGCAAAAAAATATTTTTCTTTGTAAGCTTTACCTTTCAGTGTATAGAAGAAAGAGGTACTTTCAGTAGTCCATTTTTGTTTGTGCTTCTCGATCAACAACTGCTAGCACAAAACAATATATATACAAAATATAAGAGCTTATTACATGCTCATTTAGCATTTGCTGGTCTCCACTGTAATGATCTCTCTCTTTAGTACTTTATTCAGAGATGATGTAGCCATCTTTAATTTTAATGAATAAAAAGACTGAATTATAGATTATTTTTGGATGTTTAATGAAAGATGTACATCAAAAACCCACTTCTTAGAGAGGTTATCTCAATAGTATTCTCCACTACTGATAAGTCTGTGAGGTTTCTCTACATTAATCTTCCAGTAACACGTGTTCAGTATCAATTTCCAGTTAAATTAGTCACTGTTCAGTCTAGTGGGTGATTTGCTTTGTAGAAAATGACAAGTCTGAGTAATTAGCTTAATTTATGTTATGAAACATGCACAGTGGGGTTTTTTATCTATGATTCTGTATGTCATCTCAAGTGATGCTGCTGTAAGAAATGATCTATGTGCTATTTTGTACAATAAAAGAACTTATGGAAGCAATGATATGTAATTTCAAAAATACACTATATAGGCTAATGCTTGAAAATTTTGTGTAGCAAAGCTACTATATTGAATTACTGAAAGTTAAAATAAGCAATCATTTTCCTCACTGCATTGCTTTGAAACATCAATAAACTAGTGAATGTCACTGATGTAAGGTTAACATGTTGGTTTAAGTCACTTGTCATATAATTATATATATATATATATTATATATAGTATAAATGTTTTTGGTACATACATTAGCATTAAGCTCAGTAAATGTGCAAGCAAACAACATGCTCTGAATCTGCGAATTGTTTTGACACTTCCTACCAATTTTACTATATGGGTATTATCATGAATGAAACTGGTAGTTTTCTAAATTCAACTCCTTATTTCTGAGGCTAGCTGTTTCTTTACAGAAGACTTCCAATGCCACTCCCTTAGTCAGTCAAATTAGAAGTGTCTTCACAAGAAAATACAGGCTTGTCATAATATTTAGAACATGATAAGTTTTAGTAGCTGGTTTCTTTTGCCATTTTTAAAAAAAATACCAAAAAACCCCAGAAAAATCCCAGATGCTTGCATTGGAATTCTTTGGCAAGCATATCTTTTGCCTCTTTTCTCAGTACATTTTCTACACAAACATTCATATTAGACTTGTTAAACAGTTCCTAATTCAAGACAAAGGGAGGTGTTAGTGCATATGAAGCATTGTCCATATGAAGCACAAACTTGAATGAATGAACTCTGGCAGGCCTGACCTACCTTTAAGCCAGTTTTTCATAGGTTTGAAATGGTTCCTTTGCTGTTTTCAGGATAGCCCAAACCATCAACACTGTGTATGGAAAGGGTTACTCCTGCAGAAAGCACCTGTGCCCAAAGCCTTTCTCTCATTATCAGAAGGATTTGTGTCACTGACCCTGACAGTCACCGTGTTTGCCTTTGTCCTTTGGCTCTGTTCTTCGTGCTGCTGCTGTGATACCAGGCAATGCCCGAGTCAGACCTTTTCCCACTGGCACCAATCAGTGAAAGGAACTGGGAAGTGCTTAGCTCTTGAGGTACCCCATTCCTGTTTCTCAAGACCTAGATCTGCTCTTTGGTATTTAAATGAAGCCAGACAGACAGCCACCACTTTCTGGGACTCAGTCTGGCATATCTAGGGCAGCATAGTCCCTTTCTCCTGTGGGAGCAGAGACACTGCTGGAGTCTGGATGGCAGACTGACATTCAAATGCATGTGGGGTAGGGAGGGCAGGGAAATGAGGTCATACATATTCCCTAAGATAGAGGGAGGATGAGGGGAAGCACCATTCTACTCAGATCCTTCTACGCAGTGCTCAGAGAAGACAGTGCTCAAAGCCTGAATGCTTTATAATTCCCTACGTAACTGTTTCAACACTTTTTGAACGGACAGGCCATTCTTTGCAAAGGGACTGTGAATTAAGAGCCTTAAACCACCTGTATACCTCAGGCTGTACAGTGCCACTGCACTGATAGTTGTGCCAAACAAGTGCTCAGCACAACAGCACAAATTTTTAGAAAGGCACATATGTGTAAAATGAATGTTTAAGAACACAGCAGAGTCTCTTGATGCTACAAAAAAAAATCTCAGGAACATACCCCAGGAACCTGAAGTAGAACCTCTGTTCAAAGATATTTTGCTGTGTTCCTTCTTGCTTGTAAAGTACACATTGCCACATTCCCTTTAGTTACTGAAAAACAGGAGTAAAAGGGATATACTTCTGCAACTCACTAAGCTGGCTTCCAACTCAAAGTAGAGGAGAGACTGGCAAATCTTGCCTGAGATAATCTTCAAAGAAGAGGCTCCTGAAGCCTTTCCCTGGCAGAACACACTTCAGGTCTATTTAAATATTCAGACCTTACCTTTTTAGAGCTCATATCTATCAGAATGTTAACAAAAGGTTTTCCTGCAGCTGTGTTTTAAAAGCAATAGCCATGTTCCTTTGTAAAATATGTAATCCTGAAAAGAGCGAAGCCACATTAACTCCTGAACCGAGTTTCTTGAAGGACTTTGATTGAAACCCAGTCACTAGTGGGGTTCTGCAGGGCTCGTCCTCAACCAATTCTCTTCATTATTGACCTGGATGCAGAACTCAAACTAATACTAAGTAAATTTATGGACAGCACTAAACTAGGATGAACTCTCAATTCATTCAAGGTCAGGGAGGCCCTGCAGAGGGACCTGGACAAAATAGAAAGATGTGCAAATTATGCTGTTTAGGTTTTGCCTTTTCTTCTATGTTCTCTGTATTCTTCACACATATATTTGTAGCTCTGTAGTTTATTTATAAGTGACTAGTTTTTCCAGTACTTTTCTATGACCTCTCCCTAAGCAGAAAGACAAAACAAATTTCAGCGCTCCAAGCTCTTGAGGGTACAAGGCCCCTGTCCCATCTTTGTTCTTCCTGGGAACCAAGGCTGAGAACAACTCTGTGAGATACATTCTCATGGACAAAGTACAGCCAGTGCTGAAGGGGGGCTCCAAAGGAGGGGCTTCACCTGGGGGTGAATTGCATCATCACTTGTCCTCCTTATTGGTGCCTTTTTTCAGTTATGCTAATTTCCCAAAACCTATAAATAGTACTTACCTCTGGGGAAGGTGGGCTTTTGTGGACATCTTTCCATAACTGCTCCTAAAGGCCTTCAAATAAAGATCCCCTTTTATATTATACCTCCTTACTAAAATTATCTCAAGTTTCATTTCCGGGTTGGGCAAAAGGTAACACAATCACCAACCATATGAAACTTAACAAGGGCCAGTCCTGGAATCTCCACCTGGAATGGAGCAACCCTGCTTGTGTTCCCACTGGGGAATGTGAAGCTGGAGACCTGCACTGTGGAAAGGAACCTGGGTGTCCTGGTCAATGAAAAGTTGGACATGAGTCAGCATCCTGTCCTTGGCATCCCTGTCCTGGGGGGCATCAGTCACAGATGGCCAGATGGGCAAAGACAGGGATTGTCCTGCTCTGCTCTCAGCTGGGGCAGCCTCACCTTAAAAATTGCAGTTTTGGGTGTCATGATATAAGAAAGACATAAAGCTATTAGAGAACATTCAAATGAGCCCATGAGGATGGTGAAGGCTCTGGAGGGGAAGTCATATGAGGAGCTGCTGAGGTCACTTGGTCTGTTCAGCCTGGAGAGGAGGAGACTGAAGGGAGACCTCATTGCAGTTACAACTTCCTCGTGAGGGGAAGAGGAGCAGAAGACAGTGATCTTTTCTCTGTGGTGGCCAGTGACAGAACCTGAAGTTGTGTCAGGGAAGTTTATCTTGGATATTAGGAAAAGGTTCTTCACCCAGAGCATGGTTGGGCACTGAAACAGGCTCCCCAGGGCAGTGGCCGCAGCACCAAACCTAACAGGGCTCAAGAAGCATTTGGACAATGCTCTCAGGCACATGGTGTGATTCTTGGGCTGTCCTGCACTGGGCCAGGAATTGGACTTTATCCTGATGGGTCTCTTCCAACTCAGTATATTCTATGATTTCTTTGAATCCTAATGCCAAACCTCATTCCTAAAACAAAATCTCAATATTCACATGAATTACATGCTTTGAAGGACAGAAGTCTTAAAAGAACAGTTCTTAATCAGCAGAGAGACAAAAATTTTAGGTAGCAAGATCCTTTTTGTGTCAGAAAAACTATAGCCACCATTGAAGTTAAAAGCAAGGGAAGGTGAGATAAGTAGCATGATGACAATTGTAGCATTCTGTAGCATTCATTGCTCTCCCAGTTTAGAGAGCATCTCTCTCATGTGTATTCTGAATACTTAGAACAGGTAAATAAATCTAACAGACTTGAGAGACTGAATTGCACTGGATAAGGAGAGCGGGCAATTCCTTACTAAAGGTATTAATTTTCTTTGTAAATGAATCATTCAACCCATCACCACGATTGCTGTCATATGCAGATTAATGTGTCATTTAACTTCCAGAACGATACAGACTTCAGCTGGGAAGTGAATCTCATCTCTGTTTCTGATGATCACACAGTGTTAGCAGAGGAAATTACTTTCACTGGTATTGAGCAAGACTGACAGGCTGGAACCATGGTCAGTGTAACAGAGCACTGCTGACAGATGAGACACTGCCCAGTGCCTGTTGCTAAGGATACACAGAACAGCCACAGTTAGCAGAGCTCTTGGCTGTCTTTCATGCCCCAAAATTAGTGGATTAAAATCTAACAAAGTATCGCTTACTAGATAGCTGCACTCAAAAAAGCAACTCCAATGAATAGCTACAGATGCATATAAAAATAGACTTCTTCTAGAGCATCTTTGAGCATCTAAAGATTTCTCTATTCCAAATAGTTAAAAAACAAAAAAATGCATTGAATGCATTTATCTTGATAGTCTTGTTATCGTCTGTCTCTTTATTATTGTGTTCTTGATGTAGAAGACAAGAATCAATAAGCAGGGGTTATATTGCTGGTCTCTATCAGATTTGCATTAATCAGTTTGCTGGGCAAGGCATCAGTAGACCACTACTATGACTTCCTAAGTTTGTCACTGTAACAAATAGTATCAGGCTTATTTGCCACATCAATTTACATAATGTAATCTGTCCTATCATATTATCTGTGTCTAATGTGATGCTTCACTATACACAACAACCTTGATATTGGGGTGTCCTGTGTAGATCCAAGAATTGGACTCAATTATCCTGATGGGTGCCTTCCAACTGAGCATATTCTATAATTCTATGAACCTCCTATCATGCCAAAGGCTAGTAATTCTTATTTTGTACTCGATCATGTTTCTTTTTCTTGTAAATTTTAACTGAAAAATTAACAGGATTTCCTTAAATGTATGAAAATGCAACTTATCTTTCTTCATATCATCTACTGGTCTGAGAACAAGCTGGCTTCTGAAGAGCAGAGGAGTGAGAACAGTCTGTAACTCCTGCTTCAGTTCTCCATCCTGGTTCTAGGGGCCAGGAGCTGCTGGAAGAATTTCTTGCTGTCAAGAAATTGACAGCCACTTGGGTAGCATAAAGGCTTGTGGCTGATAATCACAATCAGTCCACACTCTTTCCTTGAGAAAACTTGTCTGGTGTTAACTCTTGGCATCTAACACTTGGCAAGCCCCTTGTACTCTCTTTTTATAAGCACATCACAACTCACTGAGAAACTAACCCATAGATGATAAATTTTTATCATATAATAGTGGCAATATTATTATTGCCACTATTATATGCCAGTTGTGACAGAATTATGTGACCCAGCATGGGCAGAAGATAGAAATAAATATTTAGCTGAACATAAAGAAACCTTTTTCTACTAAGTGCAAGCAATACACTATTAAAGAGAGAAAGGATATTGATACAGCTGTCTAATAAGCAATGATAGCTTGGATATAATTGCTCTTCTGCAGATTCAGGCCACAAATTTATTTACACTGTTCAGTGTTTCTGTGTAATGGTGTACATAGATACTTCACCTTGGGAAAATGCTGTCTCTGGTATTAAGATCACCCTCACTGACACTCCCAAAATGTGTAAAGAGCTATGATAGAAATAGCCAACAGATACACATTCAGTGCTTAACATGGAATACTTACTTTCTGGCAGCTCTCAATGAATTCATCTATGGTAACTACTCCATCTTTGTTCTTGTCCATTTTCTGTATTAAAAAAAAAAAAAAAAAAAAAAAAGAAAAAGAAAAAAGTATGGAAATTGTGTTTGTGTGGCCAAGCTTCTTTTGGTAGCAGGAGAGCTACAGGGCTGGCTTCTGTGAGAAGCTGCCAGGAACTTCCCCCATGTGCAGCAGAGCCAATGCCAGCCAGCTCCAGGACGTGCTGCTGGCCAAGGCTGAGCCATCAGGAATGATAACCACTTCAGCCCTTTGTTAGATTTTCTCACCCCTGTTCATTTGAGGGGGGAGAGTGAGAGTGAGGCTTTGGTGGCTGCCTAGCATCCATACAGGGTCAACCCACTATAGTATGTTTCTCCACCCAAATTCCTGTGGGAAACAAGTCCTTTTCATTACTCATTTCAGTTATATGTCAGCCTAGGAACAACCAGTCCAAAAGTCATAGCAAGTGGACTGGACTATGCTTAAAGAGCTTTTGTTGAAAAAACAGGGCAGGATGAGTAGGTCTGGGAAACTTGGAATGGGGCCACAGAGAATAGAAAGGATTACAGAATTGGAAGGATATGTTATAACAATGAAAATCTTTATCTGCGGTGACCTACCTGGAAAAATGTTTCCACATGTTGTCTAGGTGCATCTTCTTTGAGAACAGGATAGGTGCATTTCCCCATCATATCGTATATTGCTTTCATGATATCAAGCATTTCCTGAAGAGGGAAAAATTATGTTTCTGTAATGCAATGTGCGTTGTAGACACTGCTTTAACTCAGAACATAATTTTTTTTAAGGATTTGCATTTTAGAATACAATTTTGGAATTCCCCTGTTGGTTTTTTTTTTTTTTTTTTTTTGACTGAACAGCTTCAAGAAGAAACTACTTAATTCCTAGAAATTCTATCATCTGATTTCAGCTTTCATAGATGTATGAGTTCAATTTTAAATTATTTATGATATGTGCAAGTTAATGGATTGTGGGAAGAACCTCCCAATATCTTATGAATAAAAATAAAAGGGAAAATAAGTTCTGTAACAGCAAGTGAATGGCCAAAGCACATCACCTTCTTACAACTTATTTTTCCTAAAGAAAGTGAAAATACCCATGCACCACCTGCACTTATGCAGAGTCCTCATTTTATATCAGAATCTTTGAATTTTTAGTGGCTTGTGAAAATTTTAATAATTATAAAAACAAGTAATCTGTAGTATGCCAAGAAATTATTCTATACATTACTCTTTTATAATGAACCTGAAGTGTTTTCTAAAAGTGCAAAATTATAAGTGTAATTTATATATTTGCATAAACCCCACTTAAAAAAAGCCTCCATATATTTTGATGAAACGCTTATTAGTCCCACTTATTTTAAGTATGAGTTTGAATCCTTGCAGAATAAAAGATACAGGAATCTTTCTTTATAAACCTTGTTTCAAGTAAAAATTATTAGAAGTAGATTAAAAAAATAAGTAACAATTATTGCCCACATAGTTAATTCATTTTTGTCTAAATATCCTACCAATCTATGGGCAAATGCATAGGCATAAATTTAAGCCAACTATTTCCATACCTGTTATGCTCACAAACATAATTTCTGAAGAATTCTGAACTTTTGCAATTTGTGTAAAGATTTTCCCTTTTCAATGTTCATCTATGCCTTTAAAATGAGACAATTATTTTCATTTTTAGCATGTCCAGCTTCGTAATATCTGATAATTTGTTAACACGTTCAATCTGACAATGAAACCATTCTTCTCCAAACGCAGGACTTAGCTAACAACCTTTACTGTCAGTGACTACAGTAAGAAGTAGACCTTACCTCTTTAGTTATATATCCATCCTTATTTATATCATACAAATTGAAAGCCCAGTTCAGTTTCTCCTGTACTGTCCCTCGGAGTAAAATTGAGAGACCCATAACAAAATCCTAAATAGACAAAAGGTCTTGGTCAGTTTGGAAATGAGAAGTTTTCCTCAAAAACTCAGAAATCCAGAATAATGCATTTGTCAGAAGTATGAAAAGATGTGTTGTTTCAATTTTTTTTGCTTCACTGTGAGTGCTAATGATTTCTGGATTAACAATCTAGGCACTATTTCCTACACTCATAATTAATAAGTAAATTGAGTAATTTTCTATAAAGTAAACATAATTTTCTGTTAGTGGTTGTATCCTCTTAAAAGCCTAATGTCTCACATAAGAAGTCCCCATTGAATGCCAGGAAAAAGCCACCCCCATGGTTCAATGGTCCAAGAAAAACTCAAAAGGTAGTTAGATTAATCTAAGCACAGGAGACCAATTTGGGAAGAACTATGTACTAAGGAACATTAAATTCTTCTTAAATCTGTACCTTGTTAAAGTGGAATATGTGGTTCCCAGATCTCTTAGATCAATCTGCTGCATCAATATTTCAAACTTCATTTATGATACTGCACACCCCAATTCTTATTACTTTTATTTGAAGTATGATAGGGAATAATAAATATATCACATGTCCCCATACCATTTTAATGTTTTTGTGACCCACCAATGCTCTATTGCTACAGAGCTACTCCACAGAAATGAATCAGAAGGCTTTTGAGATTATATGTATGATTATATTTTTGAGATTTATATGTAGTATGTGGTTATAGATTTTTTTGTTTCATAATAATAATGATGCTTGTGCTATGTTTGACAGCACAAACCTCATTTACATTTAGTGAGCATCATCCAGACTGGAGAAAACATCACCTCCCATCATCTCTCTTTGTATTTCTCAGAATGTTAATATTTTCTAAACAATAGCTTTTTTTTTCCTAACCATTTCCTCCACCTCTTTTTATTTGATAAGCATATGAACCCATAAATTTGTGAAATTGCCTTCATAATAGGTTGAGCAGAAAATGGCAAGTATGTACTTTTAAATGTGTCTTTCTACATTGCTCGCAATGACATACAGGAAGTGTTAGAGTAACATTAGAGACAATAAAAGCTAAGATATTTCTTATTTGCACCAGCAATGTTTTGCATTTTATCTAATGCAGGAACAATGGAAAAAACTGCACTGAGGCTAGACAAAAATTTAAAAGGTCTGGTGTACCACAAAGTCAAATAAATATACATGATAAACTGAAGTATACACAGATAGCATGGACTGAGGTGGTCTAGTAGGCACAGACAGCTCTTCTGACAGCTTCAGTCTTTTTAAGAATTCAATTGGCATGCTCTGGATTTTCTTAGTCTATCAAAAATTCTGTCATATTGATATATGTGCCCTTTGGGGTAAATGGATACATGAATCTTGAAAGAATTTTGCTCATCTTGTCTACATCTCAATGAGTAATTGAGGGTCACAGGGTTAAATCTCCAAACAGTTCTTTAACAATATACTATTAAACATTAAAATGTTCAAGAAATTCAGAACATATTTGATCACATTAAAGCATTAGCAATTAACCTTTTTAATTCAGTATCATGTCTTTAAATCTTTTCTGCACAGTTTTACATTCTTGATGTAGCTTCTCCTTAAATCCTTTGTGAAGGCCACCAGTTGCATTATTTTCTTAGATTATACATAATAATTGTGAATTTATTTTTATTTTGGCACAGCAATATTTTAAAAAAATTATTTTAGCTAAAATAAATCAAATTTTCTTTTCCTGTTTAATTCTCTTGGCTCCTTTCTGTGATGCACCACCTGTGTTAGCTGGCTTCCCATAATAATTTCTACCTCCATTTCCAAGGCTACCCTTCTATCATTGGTTTTTAAAAAACTCCTTGACTTTATGTTGTTTTTCATGGGATTGGGTGCTCTTAAAAAGCAGAAACAACTCAAAAACATTCCGGGTATGGGCTCTAAAGATTGCAGCAGTGAGTCATCTCCTTCCATATTGCATCAATATGTTTTGGGATCACACGTAGTTCAGGTGCGTTGCCTTTGTCTGTGTGTTGTGCAGGAGTCATCTCAGCAACCATAGAAAGGATTTTTCATAGTAAGTTGCGATGAGCTGGATAAGGACCAGCTAGGACAGGATGTCTTTTCTACATACTTACTTTCAAACAACTGAAAAACTGAAGTAATAGAATCACACAGAAATAGAGTATCTGATTCAGTGGATATAGGCCAAATCCAGGGTACTTTGGGCTAGAGCCTTGAACAGGGAAATGCTCTGCACGGTGGAAGGCACCGTGTGTGTCAGGCGCAGTGCAGCCATTCCAGCTGTTAAGCCAATAACCCAGTGCAGAAAGCCATGGTAAAGCAGCAGTGCAGAGGGAAGCAGCTAAACTCAGGGAGCAGCTGCCCATCTTTATGCATGTAACCAACAGCTCAGTGATGCACAAATCAGTCACACTATTTAGCAAAGAGCATAAATACAAGTCCCCATTACATGTCTAAGCCAGGATGGAAAAAATCATCTGGGTGTTTTAATACTGATTAGAGCACCCAGATTCTGTTTTCTGTCCTGGTTTAGACATGTAATTTCTAGGGAGAGAGGAATTCTACTGTTAAAACATGGTTTTTTATAAGAAAATTTCACCATACTTGGATATATACATCCTCTAAAAATGCTGTCAATGCCCACTGACAAAGGAGCCTAAAAGAGGAAGTCTGGGCTGAGACACAACTCTAGGTTGGGCCTTCCTTCAGTCTGTGATAGTGAAGTTAGAAACACTTTTCTGAAGTTAGAAAAGTCTCTGTCTTGGCACTTGCCTATATTTCTCTCCACAGTTTCCTGTTTATAACTTGCCAGTTTCCTGCAGAGCATGCTAATACCTGTTAATACCTCCTTCTGTGCCTAATTTTGATTCTTCAAGAAAGGGGGATGTCTCACTGAAGGGTTGCAAAATGCAGCGTCATTGCACCTGTACCAGAGCTTCTGTGTACTCAGAGCCCGCTGACATTTCTGTTCTGCACTGTAGAGAATGTCTGGTTGTGGTCTGAGATGAACTTGTATTTGTGTGGGTTTTTTCAGCAGTGATTAATTATCTCCTAGCAAGGTTGTTGATGACTTTCTGATTGCTTTATCTCTCAGTAAATCTTTGGGGATAATTATTTCATTAATAAATTAATTAACAAGCTTATTACTGTGCTGTCTCAAATCCATAGGAAAGTTTAAAATTGTTCCACCTGGTTTTGTGTTCCTTTATGTCTTTTTTAAGTCCAGAAGTAGGTATGCAGGGACCTTAATCCAGTTTTAAATTTAGATTTTAGGATTTTGAAAAGGAATCAAGTGATGTCACAGAAGTGGTGGAGACCTGGTGTAAGTAAAACGAAGGTCACAGAGAAGGAATTGCTCCTAAAAGGAAATGCATTTCTTTGTAGCTACTTTAAATCACATGGTGTTAAAATGGTTATGAGATCACCACTATATTAAGAAAAATGAGCTCATTTCCTACATGACGTGGACAAACCTTTGTGTGTTGAACCCACAGAATCATGCTTGTGAACCTCATGAAATTCAATGAGGCCAAATTCAAAGTGCTGCACCTGGATCAGGGCAATCCAGAGCTGAAATACAGGCTGGGCAGAGAATGGATTTAGAGCAGCCCTGAGCAAAAGGACTTGGACATATTGGTTGATGAAAAACGCAGCACAAACCATCAATGTGTGCTTGCAGCCCAGAAAGCCAACCATGACCTGGGCTGTATCAAAAGCAATGTGACCAGAAGGTCAAGGAAAGTGATTCTGTCCCTCTCCTGTGCCATCATGAGACCCCACTTTGAATACTGCATCCAGCTCAGGGGCCAAGAGACATGTACCTGCTGGAACAAGTCCAGAGGATGGAGCACCTCTGCTATGAAGACAGGCTGAGAGTTGGGCCTGTTCAGCCTGGAGAAGAGAAGACTCCAGGGACCTTAGAGCACCTCCCATTACCTAAAGAGGGCCTACAAGAGAGCTGGGGAGAGACTCTGCACATGGATATGCAGGAACAAGACAAGGGGAAATGGCTTTAAACTGACAGAGAGTAAGTTTCAATTAGCAATTAGGAAATTCTTCACTGTGAGGATGGTGAGGCATTGGAAAAGGTTTCCCAGAGAAGCTGTGAATGCCCTATCCCTGAAAGTGTCTAAGGTCATGTTGAATGGGGCTTCAAGCAGCCAGATCTAGTGGGAGGTGTCCCTGCCCGTGGCAGGGGAGTTGGAATGAGATGATCTTCAAAGTCACTTCCAATCCAAGGTATTCTATGATTCTATGACTTATTTAACTGATGGCTTCATAACACCGCCTTAGACACTACTTTTATTATTCGTTAAATATGAAGTTGTGTTTGATTTTAAGAACTGTACTCATCTACAGAAGTGAGTTAACATGCTTGCTGATTTATTAACCAATATAAGTTTGGTTTTGATTAAATATGACAGAAATCTTTAAACATCTCCATTGTGTTTGGGCACAGCACTGTGCTTTAAGGCACTGAGAATTTGTGTGATTATTGAATGACTTTCAGCAAGGAGACATTTAGAATAACTTTAATCCACATCTACAACAGATGAAGGATACCGATTTGGATATTTGCATATGTGCAATGAGCTTCACTTTGACAATATATCTAAAGTTAATTAGCCTCCATATTTCTGACTAAATAGCTTTGAGGCCAGATCTTCATTTTGACTCAGTGACAACATACATGCAGCAAATGAAAACCTTGCTTTTATATCTGTCTCTGTATAATGGAAAAAAGAACTCACTAACATGCCCAAAGAGCCCTCCAATAGCTGGGTCACTAGGTCTTCGAAAACTCTATCATATTAAAACAAAACTAGTTCACAAAGCTAATGAAATAAACTAGTCTCAAAATTAATACAATCATGGGATAAGCAGAGATAAGTTCAAGCACCTAATTTTATAAGTTTGGTTTTTATGCTACATAAATCCTTCACTTAGAGATCCTGGCTCAGTATCAAAGAGCACACAGCTTTAGGGATGACGAAACTGTAAAGACACAATCTCACCAAGAAATGTCAGTCAAATGCACAGAGGTGTGCATTTAAGTTGTGATCCAACCTTTCATTGTTGGTGGTTGAAAATTTGAGAAATAAAGAGCAAAAAGCTAAAGCAAATTCTCTTTTTTTGGAGCTGCAACTCCAGCTACCACTGCTTCATGGGAAATAGAGAGTGAAACACAAAAAAAAAGTAAATTTTATCAACAAAAGAATTTTGCTGCCATTTCAGATTTTGATAATCATTTTTTACACAGAAGATAGCCAGAGTGTTTTTATCATAGATAATTATATTAAATAGTATTTACTCCTACATTTTGATACAGAAAGTACTTTGGAAAGAATGATTATTTTTTTCTCCAAACTATTAAACTATTCCCTCTACCTTTTGAGCTGTCTACTTTTGTTGTTTTTCTAATGGAAATTAGAAAACTAATATTAAGATTGGAATAGACAGAAAATGGCACAGCTGCACTTACAAGGAGCAGGAAAAAAATGAGATTATTATATTTTGCACATTTCAGAATATCTTCTTCCACATTTTGCAGCTATTTCCATGTGATTAGAACAAAAAGCCCCATACATTTTTAACTTCAGGAGGATGCTTTTAGAATGGCCATCATGCAGTTTGTAAGTATAATATTGCTACAAGGACAAAGAAGCAAGAGTCTTTTGACAGCAGCAGAGTTATGCTGGATTCAAATCAGTGCAAATAATATAAAAGTCTGGATCACTCATATCTGCCTTGATATTGAACAAAAGTTCAGTTCCTCTGCTTTTATTTTCCTGATTTATTTTATTCCAAAGCCCTTTTTTCGTGCACAAGCCTGCACATTGAGATAATCAAAGTGCTCCAAATCCAGTACATTTCTTAAGACTTTCTGCCTGAAATACAAGTGTCAACAAATTGACCTGAAAAGGTACAAAAGATTTTTTTCATTCCCATTCTTTTTAACGATAATTGCAGAAATACTTTTCAACTACTCATTCTAAAAATAATTTTTCCCAATGTACACACTGTTGCTGTAATAGAAAGAGGGGAAGTTTAAGCTAGATATACAAAATAAATTCTTTACTGGGAGGGTGGTGAGGCACTGGCAGAGGTTGCCCACAGAAGTTATGGATCCCCCATCCTTGGAAGTGCTCAAGGCCAGGTTGGATGAGGCAACTTGGCCTACTGGGAGATGTCCCTGTCCATGGCAAGGGGTTTAAGATCCTTTCCAATGCAAACCATTCTATGATTCTGTGATTAGATCAGAAGAATCCTTGCATATTTAGCCTATGTACAGCAGACATGAATTAATCTTCCGTGCCTGCTCCTAGTTTCATAAAGATTCCATTGACTACATCTGCCTGGAAAAAGGTTCATGGGTTTTTTAAAATAAATGCAAATAATGATAAAAACAAATCTGATTATAGCCTTAATTTAGGGCATAGATTTCTGATCACAGTGTACCTGATTGGCAAGTCTTCTTCCTATTACACCAATTAATTATTTTTATTTTAAAAAATCTGTATGACCTCACAACATCATTCACTAAAATAAATCATAAAAGCATGTAAAGGACATTTCAATAAACTTGGAGTGTATTTATCACAATCCGATCAAAAGTTGTAAGGAAAAAATTAGTTCTTTATAATCAAAACCAAAGAAAACATGACAAAACAAACTTATCCTTTTTTTTTTTTAATTCTATAGCCCAAAATATTATCTACTTTGCAGTATTTTGTACACCCTGTTCTCATCTCCAGTATTGCAGTAAGGTCTCTTTTTTTCCATTTATATTGCATGGATGACATCAGCCTTACCAGGGAAAGACAGGACTGGGAAAATATTTTGGCAGTTAAATGGAGGAAGTACAAACTTCCAACTCTTGTGCTTTTAAAAACATTTGCTTTAAAGACTTTTTCTAGAAATTTCTGGAAACTAAGCATGAAAAATCTGATTTTGGCTGAGTCATCCCGATAATATTAGTTGTAGTTCAGAGATCTCATCTTGCAAAGGCAGAGAGGAAGAACTATTTTAGGTAACGTGTATAAATTTGGTTTCTTTTTAAATTGACAGATTTTAAAAAAGTGTATAAATTTGGTTTCTTTTTAAATTGACAGATTTTAAAAAATATTATGTAGTAGCACAGTCTGAGTTACCATTATGGAATATACAACTGTAAAGTAATGATTTTTTTTATTACATTGGAAAAATTTGAAACTTGAGTCACATCAGCTAAATTTTCCCTAATGTGAGCCAGGCACCAAACTGGACTTCATTACAAGGAATGGCAATGTATCCAATTTTATAGAAATAAGCAATGGCATCACTTACCTCAAAACTTACAGATCCATTGTGATCAGTGTCAAATGCATTAAACAGAAAATGTGCATATGTTGTGGAATCTAAAATTTAAAGCAGAAAAAAAATTCACAGTAAGTACATCTTATTTAACAAAATTTAATTCCATTAAAACTTTTTTGATATTGAGATATATTTTGATACCAAAATTTCCTAGCAAGACTTCCAGTGAAATTTAAAATTCCTTTCTGGCAGGAGAGGAGGGATAAGTTATAAGTGCAGAGAAAACAAAAATTGAAAATTCTGTTCTGGAATATCTCTATTCATTTTTATTCTTGTGTTTGCTAATCACTGATACCTGAGCAAATAGCAAAGATGACATATTGTACTCTGAAACAACCTGTTTTAACAGGAGCAGGCTGTGACAGGGATCCATCTCGTATGCTCACAGTGAAGAATGTGCCCATTTGCTCCTGGTAGATGAGGGAAGCAGACACTGCCCTCCCTGCACCAGGTGCGCTGGTTTTGCTCTGCACACAGATCTCTTCCCCTGGTTGAAGCTGATCTTGTCTAAAGCTGCTGCTGCCACCGGGTCCTGTGCGCACCCACGGGTGAGCAGAAATCCTCTCCTGAGAAGCAGATTCTTAAAGCTGCCTTGCTGCTGAATTCCCATGATTGTGGCATTAGGGTTTGGAAAAATTAGCTGTGACTCATTAAATGGTCAGTGAGACTCTGAAAGATGACCTTAAACAAAAGATCCATTCACTATTTGCATACTTTCCAAACCTCCTCCCCAGTGCATATTGACTCATTTCAGAAACATAAGACAGCACGAATATAAATATGTCAAGACTGTAACTTTTGTAAATATCCATCCTTCGATTTCCACTGAATGCCTTCTAAAAGCCACAACCTGCGCCAGGAGTAATATAGGGAGCACTCATCCAGAGACAGCTCTCTGGATGTGAGGTAGCAGCTGCTGGGGTTAAGGGAAGTCAGCTGGCATCAGTGTTTTTCCTTCCCTCAAAATTGTGCAAATTAATGAAGGATGAGGGCCTGTTTACTTTTAATACTCACTTTTCGCTTTCTACCTCATATGTTTACAATAATTTTAGGCTAATTGACATTAACCTCACAAATTATTAATAAAGGGCAAAGTGTTATGAAATCGGTGTCCCCTTTGCAGAATAAACTTCTCCCTCTCATGGAAAAACCTGATCAATGCTGAAATGCCATTTTCTGATTTCTTGGAATAAACTACTTTACCTTTTATATCAATCCTGCAAACCTTTATTTTTCACAGCCCAAAATACTGTTTTGTACTGAACTGAGCAATATTCTTGCAACACTCAGCTTAAATGCCACCTTAACTCTGAGGAACCAAATATAACAAAACTCAAAGCTTTGTGCTTCACAGATTCAGACCTGATATTTATAAGAAAATTCTCTAGTCTTACTTCAATATGTTTGTTTATTTTTTATGATGTGAAATAATCATAACAAGAAAAAACTGCAATCTTTAAAACCCTTCTGTTAACACGTTTTCAGAGAATTAAATCCCCACCACCACATTCATTCTTCCATGTGTCCAGTAACCACTTTAATTGCTTAAGCACAGCTTGGCAGATACATTCACACTTTAGCTGAAAAATGTAAATTTGTTGACTACAGGTTATATTTAGCATTTTAATAGTCATATTTTCTATAATCTACTGAGACTTCTGTTGTGCAACAGAAAATACTATGTAGATCATCTTCTAGGAAAAAATGTGTTATAGAGCTATAATTACTGTAAAAGGAATTTTAAATACCTTCCTATTCACTTGGCACCCATTTCTTAAAAACATCTGAAATATTCCTGGTTATTTTCTGTAGACATACAGAAAATACAAAGGGGTTTAACTTTTTTTTTTTTTTTTTTGGTATGATAGTATATGAAAAAAAAAGTCCCTAGTTGAAAAATATTTTTTTTGGTAACCCCTCCAAAAAAAAAAATAATCAAAAGCCTTTTTCAGATTTGCTTGCTCAAGCAATTCTGGTCCAAAATTTTGCCTTCAAAACCACAGCAGGATGAGGCATGCTAGTCTTTTAATTAGAGCTACTTAGTCTAATTTCCCCCTTTAACCCTAAATCTTGAGCATTAATCATTTTAGACAAAAAATCTTAACTTTTAAAATTAAATACAATTTCTTTCCAAGGATCTGATATCATAACTAGTAGGCAAACTTGCTGAGATAGGAAGAGCTCTTAAATCAGAATTCCCTTGAAAAACACCATCAAAGCATTTTAAATATCAGAGGCAGAAACCAGTAATCATTACACGTGGAAGAGTATGACTTATTAAACTACAATCATGATTTAATTTGTTCAGAAGTGATGAAGGAATGCAATAATTATTCAGTGTGTGGATTCTTATCCATGACCTACTTGGCTGAAGAAAAATCCCAACTTTCATTTCAGGTGATCGACTACAAAAATGCAGGGTGTATATTCATTCATCTGTATGGCAGTGAATCTAAAAAGAAGTTCCTGGAGTGCCCTTTCTGGCATGGAGAACTTTTACAAAGCTACTTTTGCCTTTAAAAATACATTGCTTTTGCTGCAATCCAGTGTCGTTTCTTGCCATGTTACTCTTGTAACACCTTGTCCTATTTGTAATCCTCTTGTATCTTGTCCTGGACAGTCTTGGAAGTTGCTTGAGGAACTTGCTGGATGACATTGAAAAATTTCTTTGGTTGCCCTGAAGCTTAAAATCTTATAGACATAATTTTATTTGTTCAGATATGAATTATGTATTGAATATATGAATTGTCATAATGATACATGGTGTTGTACCTGGTTTTTCATCACACAGACAATTGGAGCACAGACCTACATGTTTTAATTTGGGGAAAATTTTCAAGATTCTTTTTTCCTCTTTAATGCTGGGACATACATAAAATCATTATTTAAAAGCCTCAGCTGGACACATTATTTTGACAAGACATTAAAAAATTTAAGAACTCAGTCTGGTTTCTTAACTAGACATTCCACTGCAGTTCTCACCTCCTTCTCCAAAGGATGCCACTGCCCTAAATGCCAGAGGAGCAGAAGGATCAGCATTAACATCAGGAATAGGGTAGAAATTAGACATTCCACATATATCTATTTTAACCACATTAATAGTTTTTCTTCTCTGCAACAACTAGATCTGGTCTAATAAAGATTAGTCTTTTAACACTACATTTGCTCTCACAATATCTTTCGACTTCAATTTTAGAACATGTGTGCTTTCTCTCTGCCTGTAAAAAATTCTGGGTGTAACAATAGGAAATATGATAGATTTTTTTTTAATGAAGTGTAGTAAATCACATAGAGAGTATTGTTTTCACTACCCAAGGGTAACTACAAAATATAATATTTCAAACTGTAATTGTTAGCTTGGTCTAAAAGTTTACGTAGAGAAACAATCAGTAGGCAGGTCATCCCTTCTAGCCTTTTGTTCATTTCTATTGAGTGTGCTACTTCTTGATGATTTCAGAGATGGTAATCTGCACTGAATGCTGCTCTTTACCTTCTAGGTCAAAATAAAACTAATGGGGAGATATTTTGTTCCTACCAATTAATATGGGTTGTTAAATAAAAAACGAAAAGCAGGAGCTCTGAACAGTTGCAAAGAAATACACAAATCTCAAGAGCTCTGGGAGAAGCTGCAGAGGTGGGATTGAAGGGTTGGAGGAGAATATGAAGAGGGGTAACTGAATAGCAAATGCAAGAGGAAGAAAAGAGAGGGGAAAATTAAAATTAAAGAAATCTGAGGTTCAAGGAATAAAAACCCCAAACTGTTACACGTTTTTTTTGTTATCTTCATTTCATTAAAAGATAATGGAAATAAAAAATAACCAAACTCCTGGAAATAAATTAATTGAAATCAGGGTTAGCATTTAAGAAAAGAGATCCCATAGAATTAAAGGGGGGGTTCTACTATTGATATGAGATAGTTCCTGCAATGCCTCCTACTGTGAAAAAGTTTTTTTGAGTAAAAGAGAATGGGCAAGAATTTTTAGAAAGCTGAAAGAAAAATAACCTACTTAGAGAAACTTGTTTTTAAATGGAATCCAAGCACAGGTAGTAACTTCATAACAGAAGACTGACTTTATGTAGATACCATTGCATTTCATTGCATTTCATTCAGAAATACAGACTTAAAAAATGTGTCCAACTATCAAGAAAGCAGCCTGTGAGTTTGGACAGAGCTTGAGGGAACAATCTTATTAATTTGAACAGGAGGCTCTTTTGTCAGACTTGGGAACTAACAGACATACCGCAGTACTAATTATGTCTGCCAAGTACTTACCTCCCTGTGGAAAGAACTGAGAGTAAATCTCTTTGAAGGTTTCTTCATTGACAACACCACTGGGGCATTCCTGGAAAAAAGTAAATGACAAGAAATGAATGCCATCCAGTCTGGCCCACTCAGCCGATGTGTTCAGGAGACCGTCCACAGCATGTGTGTGACTGACACACTAAAATGTGGGACTTTGCACTTTCAACCAAATATTAATGCACATTATCACACTGAAGTATCTTCCTAAAGAATTCCCATGAGACAAAAAGTCCTTCTATGGCATGGATCCCAACTTCATTTGAGACTGGAGTGATACACATGGGCAGCAAGCGCGGTCCTGCAGTGAGTGGAGCTGTTGTGTCACCTGTGGGCCATGAGTGGTCACTGCCTCAGTTGCAATCAGCATTTGCATGGAATGGAATTCCAGCAGGAATGTAAACATAATGATAGAACATGCAATCATATTCTACTGGAAGAGTTCTATTCAATTAATTCAAAAGACCCTGCCTCTGAAGATCTTATCCAAACCTTGCAGATCCTTCTGCCTCTTTACATCTTTTTCATAAATTTAAATATGTAACACAGAATATGTAGGAAGTTTCTGAATAGAGTGACCACAAAGAAAATGAAAGGAAATGAAGAAGAATAAAGATGGTTAAACCAGTGACTTATGCAAAGAGGTAGGAAAAGCAGAAGGAACACTGTAATTGTTTACTAAGTCAAACATAAATAGACAAGACCAGAAGAGCTGATTTCTAGTCCTGATTTTGTCAGACTGAGCAGAAGACTTTGGGCAATGTACTTCATTCCTTTTATGCCTTAATTCCTTCATTAATGCAAAGATGGGTTAAAAAGCCAGGTATGCTCTTTAAAAGAAAATAACTTTTAGAAACAAAGCAAAAAAAGAGAATGTAAATTTAGTTTTAAGGTTCATACATTTATTTTTGACTATTATCATGCTATTTGGACTCAGGACTCAAACATATGTGCTCCTAGTCCTAAACTCAGGAAACTTAATAGCTGGAAATGCACATCAAGAGTAGTGTAACATCTTTTACCAGTGTAATAACAAGTTTTACTATGAGAAAAAATAGTATTTCAATTAGATCAAATAAAAACCACTGAGATATGTCACCTTCTGCTGAGAAACAAATAGAATACTCTCTAATTGAGTGCCAAATGCCTGTTCTGAGAAATGCGTGTCAGATCTTTAGGTCTAGGATTATCATGCTTTTATGTCAATTATCCTTAGCTAAATTAGCTTTTCATCATAACTAAGCACATGCAAACATATAGCAAGAAAGAATTCTGTTTAATTGAAAAACCAGAAACCAGCATCGGTGTCAGAGACACACATACTAAATTATTTGTCCCTGGTCACAGAGGCTGTCACTGATGCAGGCAGAGCTCAGGTCTCAAGAAGATGAAATAAATACTGACTGCTGGGTCACACTGCCTTTGGAACCAAAGCCTTTGGGAAATGGGAGGAACAGTGAAATGAACCTCCACTCTTCATTAGGTAAGGAGCAATCCATAATTGAGGAGGCATCTCCCTGTCACATCTTTGCGTATGAGGGCACTCTAAAACGTCTCTCTCTTACCAGCTATCCAAAAAGACTCTATCAGCTAGGCCACTGTCTCTATGGTTTCTAGCAGGTTTACAAGTAACAAGCAATAGGACAAGAGGAAATGGCCTCAAGAAGGAAATGGGCCCAGGGAAAGTTCAGATTGGATATAAGGGAAAATTTCTTCACTGAATGGGTTATCAAGCACTGGGACAGGCTGCACAGGGAAGTGGTTGAGTCACCATCTCTGAAGATATTTAAAAGCATGTAGGTGTGGCACTTGGGGACATAGTTTAGTTGTGGATTTGGCAGTACTGGGTTAATGGTTGGACTCAATGACATCAGCCATCTTTTCAACCTTGATGATTCTATGATGTTATGATTCTACTGTGCTGCTTGTATTTGGGAAGCCTTCTGGACTTGTATAAGAGCATGCAAAAGAGCAGTATTTTTACTTGGATTCAAAGCACAATAAAGAAAACATCAGTGAGTACCTCAGATACTCATTGAGATAATATTATAGGTATTCAATGTAGAAAATCTAACAAAAGTATTTTACAACCTCCTCTTCCAAGCATATAATGTATATGAGCTATGTCATTCCGAGACCTTCAGGAGGAAGAGCAAGCAGCCTTTGCCCTAAGATGGGTGTGAGTGTGAAAAAGCAATGCAGGATTTTGAAATTTAGAAAAAGAAGCAGTGGCTTCTTTTTGCTCTGCAGGTAATTTTTGTTCAGACAAGAAAGAAAAAAGAGCTGGGCACACTTTGAAGAAATTAAAGAGAAAATCTGTATTTTTGAATTTGTATAGGTCAGATGTTGCCTTTTTATTTCCTCAGAAGCTTAATAAATAATGGATGAAAAAATGAACATTCAAGGTCATCTAACTCTATTAACATGTAAAACTATTTTTTCCCTTTTCCTTGGCTGACAAAGACATTCAAACTATACTATTTTTCCAAAGAAAGCACTCCCCTTTTTGCAGGAAATGCCAACAATTCCAACTCTGTGGGTCCTTAGTCTGAAGCTCTGAAGACTGAGAGTCCCATTTTCTGACTGCATTAAATGTTGTGATGTTAGAGGAGAACTAAGGATACTCTGCAAAAATCTATGCAAGTTACTATTTTTTAGTTCAAAATAAGCTGGCAGCCTTTGTTATTAGAAAAATACATGATCTACATACCTCTTTCAAAGGCAGTCCTTCTTTTTTTTTATGTTGCTTAATAAGCTCTGGTTTCACCACACTGTTTGAAAGAATCATTGCTTGAAAAGGCAACCTACTTTCAGGTTCAGAGAATTCTATACTTCAGAGAATTATATATTAGCAGAGCCAGGAATGACATTTTGAGTTTCTCTAGCTTCTGTACTTTCCTCTGTTCTTTGCCACAGCATTGCCAGTAACATTTTACCTTTTCCATCCTTGGAGGTCTGTAGAAATGATGTCTTAAGGACATTCATTAAAAACCTGAGATGTTAGCCAATTACATTTACCAGAAATATCAGCTCAAACTTTTCTTTCTTTAGCACGCATCTTTCCTCTGAGACTCTACATGACAGGGAACACTTCTGATCTTGAGTAATTTCATTCTAAAAATATAGGTGGCCAACATGATTTACCTCCATGACTGTACTTTTCTTGACTCATAAATCTGGTTTTATTGTGTTTATCAGGAGATTTGTGCAGTTCAGGGAAAGAGATTAAATATTGTAATTGTTAAGTATGCCTCAAGGTTTTATGTCAAGCTATTGCTGACTTCCACTGTACCAACTATAATTAAAAAAATCTATCTAACCTTTCATTAAACTCTTATAAAAGAGAGGGAAATAATTAAATAGTTTGAAAGAAAAATGTGAGGGTTATTTAAACAATTTCCTATATTCTCTCTTTCCTTGATCTAAATAAAATTGATTTTGTTACAGCAAATTTCTGTTTGACAATCTTTTAAAATTGCATGAATGTATTAGATTTTCAGACTGGAGAATAAAAAGCAGAGAATGTTCAACTTGAACTGAATTCAGTTCTTTCTCTTTTAAAGAGAAAATAATATAAACTGACAAACAGACAGAGAATAATCAATATGATTCTGCCTTTTGATGATCTCTCTTGCTTGCAATTTTGCTGCTGGGAAATTACCTGTCCAGCACGTGGTCTTCAAATGTAAATTATTTAGCCTCATACTGTCTAAGACAACTCTCCTTCCATATTTTTTGAAATACTGCAGTAGGTGATTCTTCTCTACTACCTAATCAACATCCTTTTCAGACAAGAGGCAAACCAAGAAGACACAAAGCCAGGGAAATAATGAAACGTAGAAAAGAGAATGAAGGAGAAACAAAGTTTTGAGTTTTTTTCTGCATAACAATTTCGAATGATGGATAAATCTGGAGTTTTGGCAACCTTGAATATCTTTCAGCTAAAGAATTTTGCATGACAAACTTCCCATCCCATGCTGCATCTGCTGTTTCAGTTTTCATCCTGCTTCATTTTAGAGACATGTTCACATCCATTGATTCAAATATCTTCTCTTTTTGCATGTACTTATATGGTCTATGTGCATGTGCCTTCTAGGAATATTGCCTTCAGCCTCCTTCTTGTTCATGCTGTTGAATCTGACCAAATACTTACCCCTAATAAATGTAATTATTTCATTCATTTTAAAATAAGTTTCTATAATTTAAAATATTACTTCATGAGTATTGCAGCCATTTTACTTGGAAATACTTTTCGAATTAAAGATGTATTTACCAAATACTAAGAGGGCTAAACTAAATTTTGACCTACCTTAGAGCTGCATGCTAGGAATAAATAAATTTGTAATTTATTGTAAATTAAAAAACAAATAAATTTGTAATTTTGTAATTAGTTTCCTGGTTGTAAATATAAATAAACTCGTCCATGCTATATTCATCAGGAATAGATTTCATAGCCTATTTACTTTGAAGTGAGAGAAAGTGTGATTAATTTTCTGTCCTGAAAGTAGTCTTAGTATACAGGGTTCACTTTTGGTACTGGATTATTTCATAAAAAACACAGAATACATATCAGAAATTATCTTTGTGAAAAGGGGCTGCATGGCATTTCTGGAGTGCTGATCACACTACTGGCCAACATTGAAGAAACACCAAGAGCAGGGTAAAAATCCTGCAGCAGCTAATAAAAGTGAACTTACTCTAGCAGGACTTCAAAACAGATGATACAAACAAAATGAGGTGTCTGAGGGAGAAAAGGTTTTGAAGTTGTTAAAAAGAAAACAAGTGTAGTATTAAAAAAACCTCAAAAGATATGCTTAAAAGAGATGTCATGCACTAGCCTGTGAAGCAGTCTCAGAAACCTAATTCAGAGAAAAACCTCTCTCTTGAAATATTTGAAATGTGGCTGAACAAAGCATGAGAAATTAAGACTGGAAATAATCTGGGAATAGTCACAGTTCAAAAGACTTTTTCTCATTAATACAGATTTTAAGAAATCACAGACAATATTTATGCTCCTTTTCTTTTTTATTTTTTTTTTCTTTA